TTTTTTTTATTTATCATAAAAGAAGAAATATTAAAACTGTGTAAAGATGGAATATCAATTTATTTACTCTGTTTGTTGGTCTATTAGGCATCAATCAGAACATGTATATCTGGATGAGAAAGATCGAAATTGATTCAATTATGATATGTAATGGAAAAATACCTGTACTATGCAGTGAAGAATTGATACTTAGTGTAGAGTCCAGAAACCTTTTTCGACAGTGAAACCTTAGCCGCAAGTGGTCAGACGATTTCTCTGCTTCTTTTATGGCGGCTGGAGCTTTGGGGAATTGCAGATCTGGGCGCAGCGTGGAACGAAGAAGAACAGATGCGAACTTCTGTGATGCGCAGCGGAGAACGGCGAAAAGAACAGGAGAGGCAGACGAGAAAAAATTAGGGTTTGAGTCTCGTGCTGATAACGTGTTGTGAACTCGATACTTTATTCATCATATACGGGGGTATTTATACATACACGGGAAGAGGTATAGTCTAGGTCAATAAGAAAACAATATATTCTAAATAGAATGAGAAATATATCTGCCATATTTAACAATAATAATTAATTACTAATATTATTCACAAAATAGAAGAGGGTTGATCCGGATAAGGATCTGTCCAGCACTTGTCCTCCTCCGCCGCCTTTTTCCACCGCCTCTTGAACACCTTGTATTCATTATATGATTGTCTTCTCACCTACATTTACCCACAAATATGGTTTAATTAGTGTTCTTAATGGTACAATAACTTTTTTACAACAAATATGACAGCAATGTGTTTGGGAAGGCTATGTTAATCCGTTAATAAAAATGGTTGTTAGTGTACTTTTTTATTTTTGTCAAAAATTTGATCACAAAGTCAACAAAATTAAATGAGTGACTTACCTCGATTCTGAAGTCGACTCTACTAGATGAAAATGTAGTTGTTCCCTGCTATATATGGAACAATATTTAATCATATGTATGTGGAGTTGAACCAATTAATCACAACTAAAAATAAAGTTTAGGTTTAGAGGTTCAAGAAATATTTTTATATTCTAAGAGTACGTGTATTTTGCGCATGGCCTTTTCTCGATTTTTAGTACTTTAATTTGGTTCTGCTTCAAAATTTCTCTCGAGACTGGCCCTAAGAGTAATCTAGAATGATGTTATTTGAAATTTGATCTTGAATTTAGAAATAAGATGTTCCAATAACCTCACTCTAGATCTAAGATCGAAGTTTGTTAAGCCCTCGAAAAAATGGGCTTGGGCTGGTATGACACCTTGGCCCACCCTTTGACAGACCTTGATGATTGTTATCAGGAATCAGACCCACTGCTTCATAGGCTAGATTGCACGATTCGTCCTTTTAAGTTATTACATTATGCACAGTTAGTCCTTCACTTGTAACGATTTCACGAAGTCCTTCGAATTGGGTTAAACAGGTGGTCCTTCAGTTATCGTCTCTGCAATGCAAACGTGGCTTGAAGGACAATTCGTGGAATTTTCAAAGAAGAACTAATCGTGCATCACATAACAACTTGAAGGACCAACGGTGCAATTCAGCCTCCTGTATACCTTATACAATGTGTGTGTACTGTGCGTGGGGGGGGGGAGGCCCGGGGGGGTTGACCTTGGTGTTTGAAGGCTCTCCAAGGGTGGGAAGCCCATAATGTACCACGTATTCTGCGTCCACTACACCTATCTTCGATGTTCGATCTCCCTGCCAAACAACCAAAGGTTATTTAGCGTCACTTTGATTTTTTCGAGTTAAACTGCACAAACTTTGGACCCCAGTTAAATAAAAATAGTAAAACATTAGTATAAAAATTCTTTCGATAGACATATCTTGTTGATAATTATTAATTATTTAAATTATTGTACAAATACGCAACACAAATTAAGAGTAATTGATAATAAAAATTTATGCAATTCGACGCAAGTAAATACGAATCTCCTTATTTAGTGTCTCAAGTAAATAATTGATACTGTTTGACTTTAACGTACCTGAGCACAATAACCGAGTTGCATGTCCAACCCCCATGCATGGATTAAATCATTCTGTGAAATCATAAGATATGGTTTTCCTCTACTCAAACATGTCTTTTATTAAACATAATTAAGCTTCAAAAGTTAAGTTCATCAATATATATATATACACACACACACATTCCAGACCTGGATCATATACCATACACATCTCCATGCAGCTTTGGAAAATACAGGTGCCATCACTTCTATCCACCTATATACATACATATATTTATTGTTGGAAAAAATTACATGACAAAAATGTTGAGACAAAAAAAAGAATAAATAAAAAAGGAAAAAAATGAGATGCTGCTGGGTGGAAACTACCAAGAAATGAGCTGCAATGATGGATAGCCCTTTTTTGGAGTTTTGTTGTCTTCCTCTTGGAGTTGTCAGCTAATATTTCCACTATTATGGTTTTTGGCTATTTAATAGTCATGGAACAACACGGAAGAGAGTGGGAGAAAAAAAAGAGAGGAAGGTTAAAGAGAGAGGTGTTACACAAGATATCACCAACATTGTGTGAGTGAGTGTAGGGAGTAACTGGTTTTTTAGTTACTCGGAAAATACATCCGGGTGTAGGGTGTGAAAAGTCTGTTTATAAGTGTCTGGTATTTAGCACTTGTAAATAGGGAGAGTTTTTTGTGTATCGTTCTGAAATAGTGAAGATATAATTTTTCTCTCATATATTCTTCTTGTGTTTGTTTTCTCATTTTTCTGCTTTTCTCAATATTTTTCGGTATCTTACGCGCTTAAAATCCCAACAACTGGTATCAAAGCCAAGTTACATTTGGGACGGAGGGATTTCTAAGCGGTAAGAGAAGAAAGTCGAAGAACTTGAAAAATGGCATCGGTAAAAAGTTCGAATGTTTCCGTCGACCCTTTCGATGGACGTGGCGATTTTACTCTGTGGCAACAACGAGTAAAAAGTGTTCTTACTCGGGAAGGGACAATCAAAGCTCTGAAGGTGAAGGTTCAGAGGACAGAAAAAATGACGGATTCTGAGTGGGCCAAACACCGGAAGAACGACAAACCGGAAAAATTGTCGGAAGAAGAGTGGGAGGATTTGAAGGACATGGCAACAAGTACAATATGCCTATGCCTTGCAAATAATACTCTTCGGGAGGTTCTCGGTTTGACGGACCCGGTGGATATTTGGGACAAGCTGGAGAGCCGGTACAAGTCGAAATCGTTGACAAGTAGGCTATACTTGAAGAAACGATT